AGCAAGGGTGTCACATATAACTTTGAATTTTCTAATATATTCTGAAATGGATAAGGATCCTTTCTTCAAGCAAGCCAAGGAATCCTTCAAATTCTCTTCGTGTTCTATGGTATTGGGAAGTAAGTGCTCTTCCAAACTACTCCATATTTGCTTTGATGTTTCACTCCCTATGATCATGCTGAGTATGTCTTCGGTCATGATGCCTAGAAGCCATGAAACAAGTAATCCATCATTGAGGAGCCATTGTATGTATTGTGAATTTGAAACTTTCTTTCCATCATCTCCGATGATTTCTTTGGCTGGTTCATCATTTGTAAGATGGTGGGCTATCCCAAGACTTTTAATCAAGGGCAAGACCTGTGATTTCTAAACAAGAAAGTTAGAGGAACTTAATTTGACAGAAACAAGACTAGCACATTGATGAAAGATTTGTATTGTGAGTTTGGGTTCAGCATGGGAATTGATCTCAGAAGTAAGGCTTGCCATTGGCTCTGATACCATAAAGAATTTTATTGTAAAGGGAATATAGAGAAGGAATGAGAAAAAGTAATGAATAGAAAAATGAATTTATTCACTCTTTTTCATTGTCCAGCAAGATGTATGGACATGTATATTTGTACAATAAAAGGCAATGGTAATATGCTAAATAACTCCTAGAAAATGATTTTTATTTAATAGGTAATCCTTTTGAAATGGCATAACAAATTGCCATGTTTGTTTCCAACGGCTTTGCATATATCACGGGATTTTTTGTCTGTTTGGAGTAGTAATCTGGTTGCTCCTTTTTCATATTGTCATTACCTCCATTAGTGCTAGAAACTTTGTTATTTTTGGCAAGTGAGTCATCATTGACTTTATTGAACTCAGAAGATTACCATTGGTACTCTGTTTTTATCCATTATAAACTATTTTCTTTCTCTCCGTTTCTTTTTGATAAAATTTTGAGACCTGATTTTATTTATCTCTCGAGTTTTGATAAGTGTTCAATATAATATTATTTGCAATACAGGAGAATACATTTCAATTTTTAACATTTTTTTAAATGTTATTTCTTTCTCTTTGTGCAATTATAGATCATAATCTGTCAAACCAATATTTAGTTTGTAGAATCAGGCTAGATGAGAACCCGTGTCATGTGACATAATTCTATGTCAGACACGGTTCGCAATACTAGGCACGCTCACATATATGAGAGTTCATTTACCCATGAAAATGGGCAAATTACTTCTTTAAATCTAGGTTTTTTTACCCTTAAATAGTTTAAGGAAAACAAAATTTTGGCTCACAAAAAAAAATGGCTTTCAAAAATTGATCTAATTAAGGTATTTTGTCTTTTTCCATGAGCAAACATACCACACTACCCCATACAAAATAACATTTTGGAAAATACATTTGTACTAATATTTTGATCAGACCTTCTTAGTTGCATTAGATCATATTTTCTTTGTAGGAGATTAAACTTATTTTAAGAAGTTCAAGAAGTTGACATTTCATCTCTTTTATTGGTTAAATCTTTAACTTCAAAACGTAAAATATCCGAAAGCTCTCAAGAAATAAAAAAAAAAAAAAGCCTTTGAACTGTGGGTCAATTCTCATACCCTGGAATTTAAACACTCCCACTTTACTATTTAAATTTTAAGCTAGTTCAAGTTGACCCATTTTGTTAAAATTTCTATTAAAACCATATGAAAAAGTGGTTAAAAACTGGTTAAGCTTGGTCATGTAATTCCATGTAATGATACTAGTTACAGATTCTACCTCTTTAAAAACCTAACTTATTAAAAGTACTTTTTAAAAAAAATTTTATTTCTTAACTAATTCTAATCTAAAAGGTACAAATATATGGGCTAATGTTAAGGAGTAAAAAAAAAAAGAAGACTCCATTTCAAGGGGCATTTTTAAAAATTGCCCTAAAATAATTTCTTTCAAATGTGTACTTACTCTTTTTTTTTTCATTTTTATTAATACCGCCTTTACATTGTAATTTCCGATAAAAACTAATGTTTTAGTCATTATATTAGCTTTTAAATAGTCTTATCTGAGTATGAGCAATTATATGTAGTCGTTATAACCTTTTAATCTAATCTATAATCTATATATAATAATCTATTAATTAACTATTAAAAGAGCCAAGTGCTATTTCTCTCAAGAATGTCACGTGTCACATGAGAGCTCTTCTTCCTTCTTCTTTTTTTCTCTCTTTTTTTTTCTTTTTTTCTTTTTATTTTTTAAATGTTTTTATTTTTTGTCTTTTTGGAGGTTAATTTAGTGTGTTTTGAGCGGGATTAAACTTACAAAGTGCCGCATTCGGCTAGTACTAAAAATTACAGCGGAAAGAACAGTGGTAAGAATTCAAAAATTCAAAGCTAATCACAGAAATACACCATCATGGCTTCTTGATAGTAGCGCTTCTCATCATGTCATCGCCCTCTTCGCTCATGAGATGAGACGAACCCTAGCCCAAATCATGAATGGCCCCTTTGGTGAACCAACGAGATCGGCTAACGGGACCAAGATCTGGCTCGCGAATGGCGGATCGAACCTTAGGAACACCATCGATGACAGAACCAATAGTGAGAACAGGAGGAATCGTCAGATGCAGCTGACGTTGAAATCCAAGAACGATTGAGAAATGTCGATGCAAAGAATATTTTTAACAAAGTTCATTTTTTCAGTGCATATTTTGCGGATTTTTTTGAAGTAATAAGAGGAGGTGATTGTGTAAAGCTAATTTCAACTATCACATTAACATAGATGTTATAATAATGGGATACTCTACGAGTGTCGTAGATACAAAGAATGGAACGATCATAACTGGATGGCCAAAAAATTTCCCCGACATACAAAGAAAACCCCTAGAAGCCACCAACTGTTTTTCTTTTTCTTTTTCTTTTTGCTGAGAACTTCAATTTAGTTGGTTACAAGAGTTATAAATCCCTAGAGAGTCAGTTTCACTGAACAACTAGGAATTATTTCATCCCACTTTGATGGGGCTCTCCTCCTGAGTCCTGATGCTTCTTCGGCTCAGCAGGGAAATATTTTATTCCTACCAGGTCCCCAACTTCACTGATAACCTGCCCAAAAAAAAAACCCCAGTCACGCAGATGGGATAGGCAAAGAACTCTCTATTTCCGAATATTGTGGTACAGTTGCATGCAAGCCAATCAAAATCAGAGACTAGTTTTGCTTGACTCGACCAGACTAATGTAGTGTGTGTTTAGTATATGGGTTTTGTTGCACTGTAAACCCATAGTTTTAGTTCTACTACAGAGGTTTTCTCGGAAAAAAAATTTTGAATTTCAAAAGTCATAATCAAGAACCCTAGTTTGAACCCGTATGCAAAACGGGCCCGTAATGATTCTTCGACACAAACATTATAATATCACGCATGCAGTTCCAAAGGCATTTAATTTTACCAGGTTCAGCCAATATATATATATATACACACACACACACACTTACACTTTTAGACAGATTGGAAGAGGTGGATCTTGAAAGTATAAATATTAATACTCAAGTAGGAAATGTACCTCCAGAGCTCTGAGGAGGTCTTCCTTGGAATGAGAGGCAGAGATGCAAATACGTGCTCTAGCCAAAAGTAGAGGGGTAGCTGGAAAGGCAACCGTCACTACAGCTACCTGTAATAATAGCAAGTTTTGATGGGAATAACTAGTTATAAACCCAAAAGCTAGACGTAATAGAAATAAAAAAATAAAAAAATAAAAAATAAAACTCACATTTTTCTTGAGACATTCTCTTGAAAAAGCAGGAATCTTTGCCGGATTGTAAAGCATTATAGGCATTACGGGAGAATCGTTATCTCCAAGAACCTCAAAACCCATTTTCTGCAGTTCTGACCTGAAGAAGTTACTGTTTTCACCAATCCGTGCAAGTTTTTGGGCCCCTAAAATTGGGAAGAAATGGCTCGTAATGTAATTTTTAAAAATAGAAGTTTCTTGGAAAGAAGGTAACGGACACAAATCAAGCAGTGCAATAAAAGAAGTTAAAATGCAAAGAGGATTTTTTCGTACCTCTACTAGTGCCGTCCTCTCCAAGAATGACCTTAATAGAGGATATGATTTGTTGGGCAGCTGGAGGTGATATTGACGTTGCATATAGATGGGCTGGGCAGGTGTACTTCAAATACTCTACAAGCTCCTGAAAATGAAAAGCAAAAACAGCTACTAAATATGAAAATCCATGTCGATGAGACGCTTGATCTGTCCTAGATAGCAACGACATGATCATGATATAAAAGACTACATAGATGGTTGGTCATAATGCTTAACAATAAATGGAAAATAGACTATCACTTTCAGAAGTACAAAAACAACTGACAAATTAATGCCTGGGACAAAGCATGCCACAGATATTGAGGTTTGATGTAGCATCTAAGGGCATGCCATTAACTCAAGAATAAATTAACGTTGTGCCTCAAACAAACCTTCGATCCAGCTATATAACCACCGCAGGAGCCAAATGATTTTGTAAAAGTTCCCATCATGATATCTACATCAGCAGTATCAACTCCTAATAATTCACAGACACCTCTGCCTGTTTTTCCAACTGCTCCAATACTGTGAGCCTCATCCAAGTAAACATATGCCTAATAACAAAGGTATAGATATTTTAGGATCTTTTTCTTTTCCTCTCGAAATATGAGTTTGATATTTAGCAGTTGAATTGAAAAAGATCAAATTGATGATTCATGAAATGTAGTGTTTACAGCTCAAAAATAAAAATCTAAGAAGTGCATTACCCTGTATTTCTTGCATATTACAACAATCTCTGGAAGTTTACAGAGCTCTCCCTCCATACTGTATATCCCCTCAACGATAACAATGATCTTCTTCCACGGTCTACGCGTCCTGGGTTGTCCTTCAGCAATTTGCTCTCTTAAAACTTTCTCCAGATGTGATGGTGCTAAAAGAAAGACATAAAAACAGCATACTACATAAGAAAGTTCAAGGAATACATTATGCATGGAGTATGGTTACCAATAGTACTTACTGTTATGTTGGAACACTCGAATTGTAGCTCCTGATCCTCGAGCACCATTGACAATTGAGTTATGGTTCAATGAGTCACTAATAATCAACCCACCCTACAGTGCCATAAACAAAAGCAATTCATACATTGAGGAATAGAAAACAAGAATCCTCTAATACAAATTTATGTACATACCTTCCCTATAAGGACAGGAAGGATGGCAGAATTTGTCACATAACCCATGCCAAATACTATGGCAGCAGGTTTTCCAACGAAGTTTGCCACACATTCCTCTAGTTCTTTGTGAATTGTTGTATTTCCTGGTAGCAGAGTCGAATTGTTACAGATCCATAAATCTCATAACAAAGATTATTAATCTTGCAAGAGCTCCGCATACCTCCATCAACACGAGTGCTACAAGTACTTGGCGAAAACCTCTTCAGTGACTCAATAACACGAGGTGTGCAATATTCATCAGATGCAGCAAAACCCAGATAGTTGTATGATCCCAAGTTAAGGCACCTACTTTTCTTAGAGGTCCGTCTGCACAAGAGGCACTTAATCAGAGTAATCCACAGAACACCAAAGACTCTGAGGACAAGAATAAACAGAAAAAGAAAATGATAGAAGAGAACCGGCTTAACAAACGGATTTCACCATACAACCCTACTTACTTTAGCGTCTTATTATTGTCATTAGAGTAGCGCTCAACCACATCAAACCAAGCATCAGGAGCACTTGCTATTGGTCGTCCAAAACAGTCCTAGAGAAGAAAAGACATTAGGAATTGCATTATAGGAAGCACAATAATGTCTACTATTGGTTTATTTTTTGCAATATTATTAAGTAGAATAGAATGCTTCACCTATAATACATCAAGCATTAGTTTTATGATATGTCTTGATAAGGAAGTAAAGATCTACAACTTTATCCATATTTTTGTGACATTATGTCTTTTTTTTTTTTAAAGTTAATTACACAAGTTTTCGATAATTCATAAAGTATTCATAACACTAATAATCTCCAAAACTTTATGCTTTAATAAACCTTGAATTAAGCTTAATCAGTTAACCTACAACCCAGAAGTAGTTAATTTTACATAATTGAGCTCCAATTACGTCATTTTGGATTCAAAACCTCAAAATCATTTCAACTTTAAAGAATTATAAGCAGCAAAACAAAAAATTTTCATACCTGAATGCGCAGATACAAACGACGAATGTAGAAATCCTCAAGTCCCAAACAGATCGGCGCGTAACCCTAATTCAACAACATTCTTCATTATTTTCAAGCTCGAAAAGATCGAAACAAGAAACAAGCGGTAAATACATGAAAAAACATTACATAAATACACACTCATACATATATATGTAAATAATTATCGGAAAGGGACCTGGAGATTGCTGGAATTCCACCAATCGATAATTTTCCTGAAGAAGTCACGGAATTGGCCAAAGGCGAAGAGCAATCCGTAGCTAAAGTAGGTGGTCAAAGCGGTCAAATACGGGATCGTAATCATCTTCGCCTCTGGGAATTCCGAGCTCGGAGCTTCCAACAATGGCGGCTTTTGGATCTGATCCCAAAGAAGAGGCTTGCGATCTCAAGGAGATTTTCGGAATTATAATAAAGAAAAGTAAAAAAAAAAAAAAAAACTGATGAGAGAGGAGAGAATCCAAAGAGATTGATCTCTCCAAGAGAAAGACGGAGATTGACCAAGACTTTCTTTTCAGGTTTTTTATTTTTATTTTTATTTTTATTTTTATTGTGAGCATTTGGTTTATATTTTCTTTTTCTATTTTCTTCTTATTTGACTTAAGATTTGAATAATTTGACAATTGACATATTCATTCATTCGTTCTCCTATCCTGTTGGCGAGCTACTTGTCGTACGTGTCAAGAGCACGTGATATACTAATTTTTCTGTAATTAAGAATCGTTTAATTCGTTAATTTAAATTTTTAATTTAAATTATGATGTAATTTTATATTAAAAATTTTTATTATAATAAAAAAATTAAATATGACTCTTTTTAAAAAAAATTTACCATAATAAAATTTAAATTCTAAATTTAAATCGCATTTGAGTTCCTACTATCCGACCCATGTAGGCCGAACATGAAATCCAATTAATTTTTCCTTTTTTATGTTTTTTAATTCTTTTTTTTTTAATCTTTGGTTGATCAGTGTTTTTTTTTGTCAGATACAATTGGATTGCATAGATGCTAATCTATCAGATACTATCTAGACCTATAATTAATAATTTGGCCCCGTTCACTTCGCTGATTCGAGTTTAGAATTTGAGTTGAGATGTGACTTTATGTGAGAGCTTTTTACTGTAGTAAAAAAGTTAGATGTGATTGTTTGTGAGAGCTTTTTACTGTAAAAAAACTTAAATTTTAAACTCAAATCAGCGAAGTGAACGGGACCCTGAAAACTAGACAAAGACTCCTTACAATATACCGATATTTATATGTGTAAGTACATTTATAAGGGCATTTCTTAAAAAGGTAAAAAGTGGATAAGGAAAGTAAATGGTCTTGCAGAAGGTTTTGCCAATTTTGGTATGCTTTCATATCATTACTCGGAGATATTTATGTTGGTATCTATCCTACTGAGTTTTTTATTTTTTTTATTTTTTAAAATAGCTTTTAAAAATTTGTGAGTTTCTCATTTTGTTTCGTTAAAATGCAGTTTTTTACACCTCCACTGAACTTCACACTTTTTATTAGTTTAAGACAAAAAAAATTAGTATATGCCCACATCTGGCTCTGCCATTGTTTGTAGTTATAAACTTAGGGCCAAATAGTACACTAGTCATCTTCATCCACGAGAAGATCGAATTTATTAGACATTTTACATAACAACACTATTGAAAGTAAAAACATAATCAATTACACGTAAAATATTATACGCCACAAAATACTCAACAATGTCATAAAAAATAAGGTACTCGATAAAATAAAATAATGTACTAGAGAATGAATAAAAATAGTGGAAGCATGCATTTTTTAATAGTACATCCACACCGTGACACCACTTTAAGGTGTAAAATCCGTTTGGTTCGCTGATTTGAGTTTTTAATTTAAGTTGAGATTTGACTTTATGTGAGAGTTTTTTACTGTAATAAAAAAGTTCGATGTGACTGTTTCTGAGAGCTTTTTACTATAGAAAAATTTGAATTCTGAACTCGAATCGGCGAAATGAACGGGACCAAAATCATACTAATTCAAAGAAGGAAAAATGATATAAGTACTACCTCAAGTATATGGCTGTGCTAATGCGAATTACAAAAAAATTGAAAATCTCATGAGATGACCGGTAACGGAAGAAGAGATGAAAGTCTGGCATGAGAGACAAGAGCCAGTCAGAATAGCCAAAGGAACTTGCCCAAAAGCCAGTTCAAAAGGGCTCCGAAAAGACTAAAAAAGCAGTGGCTCTTTCTGAGCATTGATTTCCAAAATCCCTGTCCAAGATTTAGGCAAGTCATCCTTGGCTACCAAACACGGCTCTTCATCTTCATACAAGACTTACTCTTCCTCCTCTTCGAGATTTCCCTGTCGTTTTTGGATGCCGATACTCCATTACCAAACATCTATTTATAGCCGAAGAAGGAAACAAAACGGGTGAGTGGCTAGTTCTCGTTGGCTCATGTATTTGCCTCATCCATTGCATGGACACATAAGTTGCAGAATATATTCTTGCAATTAGAAAGTTGCAAACATATCCTTTGAATCTCCAATCTTCATATCCTGCTAATTAAACGATGTCGTTTTCGTTGCGACGACTCGGACCGCGATATGTTGTTTGCAAATTTAGGAGGGGCAAAAATGGAAATGGCTATTGTTACACTATGGTCGAGAGATCGGCCACCCTCTTGAATGACAGACGCCGAGGACTGCTCGCAGAGGATCGGTCGCTGGCGCTGAGGGAACGTCACTATCTACGCCGAGAAACCATGCGTGGGAAGGGGCGCCGGGCGCGATGACTCAGCGTTTGGAGGCCACGGCGCCAGGGTATCACTGTCGTTTCTCTCTACCAGCTGTCTTGTCAACTCGAGGAGGGGAGTGCTGATTCAACTGCTACTGCAAAAGTAAGAGGGTCAGGCGGCAGATAGGAAGGATCAGCCGCATTCCCCGGGACAGTCATCATGAAAACCCACCTACTTTCACGCTTACCGAGGACAGAGGATGGCTTCCTCCTTGGGAACGGAGAATACACATTCACATGTAAAGGCCTATAAATAGGACCAATAAAACCCAGAAAAATGGTTAGACACCATTTCATTACGAAAGAAAGAGAGCTTGTAACCGGTTGAAACAAGAGTGCATGCACAAGTGGATTAGGCAAAGAATTATTGCCGAACCACTATAAAATTGTTGTCTCCTTTACATTATCTTTCAGTCTTAATCTTTAACCGAATCTTGAGTGTGTTCCCGCGAGTGTTTTTGGGAGATATTCACGAGTTGTCAGAAAAACACCGTCAACAGCTATGGAAGGTCAAAAAGTGCTAATCATATTCAGTCTTGTGCCACCACCATTGCATTTTGGTCTCAAGCAACTTGCACTGAATCAGTTCAGAGGGTACCACCATTTTTTTTTTCCCCTCATGTTTCAGGCATCTATGTGGACACCAGCACTATTTGGAAAAATGTTATATTTTTCTCAATCAAGCTCAAAATAGAATGTACTTGTAAAACAATTAATTAACTTATGGAAAAAAATAACAAATTAGAGTTTTAATGCTAATTTTAAACTAGGAAAAGCATGCTCAAGGATATCAAATTGCCATTCAAGTGTCATTTCACTCTTTTAGACATTAACTTGTTTGGTGTGGCATTATTTGGTCCATTGATATTTGAATCATTCTAGGCACTCACTAATTGTGTAGTGTGTATTGATATGTTGCCGAATCCAACAACTCAAAATTCCTAAATTCCATTGCTATCTATTTTGACATTCCCATTGCCATAAAAAAAGAGAATAATTTGGTCCCTATTGGAAATGCAACTCTTGCAGGTTGACGATGATCAAGAGAATAATGTAACCCTTCTTGATCTCTCCTTTTTAGCAACTTTATGAGCGCATTATATTCCGAATGATGGCAATTAAAGATCAACCCAGATGTCAATTTCCACCCAAAATTCAAGTTCAAAACTGCCTTAGAAGCTTAATAACCAAAAACTTTGGTTTTGTTCCGTTTGACTTTATAATGTGTTGCCCTCACATCATGATCATGTTTCATAAAGTCAGGATTTCAAAGACATAGTACACCAAATTTTTTTTTTGGTGCATTATTCGAAGCTTCTAAGTTTAAAAAGTAGGCCACAGAACTTTATTTCACTTCCCATATTTCAACTTGATTTGATTTTTTTTGGTTCTCCTATAAGCAAAATAACAAAAGTTTACTTTTAACCAAATGGGTATGTATAATGTGCTTAAAAAGGTTCTTTGGTCCTTTTTAGCAGCACAAGAGCTTAAAAAGCTAGCTTCATAAATTCCATTTCTGCAAGGAAAATCCAGAGCCTTCCAATGAGTCCTGTCAAAGTCACAACTAGAATAGAGCTTTTCAACTTTTTCTGCTGATCATCCAAAGAAAAGATGGCACAATGGAAAAGCTTTTTCACTTGAAAAAAAGAAGGGGAAAGAAAGTAGGTGTGTTCATCGAATCTTTCGATCCGTTTAATCTGCTTAATTCGATTAGGTGAATTAGATTGGGTTGAGAAAATGTATTGGTAGCGGATTGAGATTGTTCTAATCTGAAGAGTACGAATTGGATTACGGATTGAGCATTTCAATTTGTATAATTCGCAAATCCGAATTATATGTATTATATTTTTTTTATATATTTATAAATAATACGTATAATATCTATTTTTTTTAGATGCATGATATATGTATATTATGTAATGTGATGAATGATAAAGAGTTTACTTTGAGTTTCATTGAAGTTTGTTTGTTATGATGGATTTGAATCTCACATTTTAGTTTATTGTAAAATTGATTTTTAATTATGTTGTAATGAATTAGATTTTGTTGAATTAGTTTATGTTATGTTATGTTTGTGTTTATTTCTTAATTTATTATTAATTTTATGAGAGTAGTAAATAAAAAGAGTTTATAAGAGTCTTAAATTTAAGGGTAATCTTGATAAATATTTTTTAAAAGTGCATGAGTCAGGACTTTTACTTTTTATTCTTAATTCATAATTTTTTTAGTCAAATAATTACACTAACAAAATGATATTTATTAAGAGTAAAGGGTAAAGGTCCAGACTCACGCACTCTCAATGATAAATTCTCTATTTTTTCTAAATTTTTTAAAATCTCAAAACACGAGTCTAATCTGCGAGTCCGCATGACCCATACCGAAGAATTCATTGTTTCGGATTGGATTGGAGAGCTCAAAAATTGAGATTTTTTTAATATGAAGTAATGAATTGTATTGTGAATTGACCCTTAATTCGTATAATTCAATCCATAAATACCTCTAAAAGAAAGAGTTACCACTAAATCAACAATAGCCCATAAAACTTAAAATTTGTTCAAGTGAATAAGACCGAGGGGAATATCTACCTAAGTCCATACCTAAGTCCATCTTTCTAATTGAATATGGAAATAGAACAGTAGATAAAAAAAAACGGGTTTATAATAAGTACTATTAATTTTTTAACCAAAAATATGAAATTAACATGTAACATTATACGTATTGTGCAATTA